TAGATTATCTTTTTCTGCACCTCTTTTCATTTGTTTTAGTCTTGAAAAGTCTGTGCAACTAAAGAGAAATCTCTAAGCCTTATCTAGCTCTGACACTCAATGATGGTAGAACCCCCATTAGCTTCCAGATTGGAGCCTGCGTTTCTTGCAGTTTGTTTTGCCATTTTACAAAGTATGATCCAGATTCTCTGCCCCATCCGAGCCCTGTGGAAAATACTTTCCATTTGTAATGCAAACTTGAATGTTTAGAAATGGCAGTTCTCTTGACTTAAATCTCCATAATTCAGGGTTTTTGTGGCTGAGGTGGTTAAATGATAGAGTGATTGACTGTTGCTTTAGAGAGATCTTCTGATGTTGTTTCAGCTGCTTATGTAAAAAATGTTAAACTATTTGACCATTTCAGAACTTGATTTAGTGTTGTTTCAAATGACTGCTTTCCATTTTCTGGACATTCGATTCAAATTTTTATATACCAAACCTACTTTAAACGTTCAAAGCCATACGTTAAGTGCATCAGTAGCTGAGATTGAATGCAAATATTCCTTCAATCTGGCTGAAGACTACATACCTTCCCCTCTAGGGGGAAAAAAACAAACCATAGAGACTGTCATAAATAATTCTACTTAAGTGAATGCTGAAATAAGGCACTGCATTGCTTGGCTCCCAGTAACCTCTTTGCAGCCAGATAGGTCGAGTACCCTCTGGCCAAAGCTTAGCCTTTTCAGAAATGGAAAGCAGGAAAAACAATACGATCATCTTTTAAAGTGGCATGTTGGACACATCCCCAAAGTTAAATATACCTAGACAGTTCTCAGTGCTGCAACTACAGCTGACCTTGGAAGAAAATGATGTTTCTAGCAGCCCAGAAGTAGGGAAAGGTGATAACGAACAAGATGTGATCATGTATTTCTGGCACACACTTGGGATAGTACAAGGAGCTAATTGCATTTAAGCATTATCTTACAATATGGTGACCCAATCATTCTGGAAGGTAACCTGAGTCTCCCTTTTTAGAAAAGACACTCTATTTTTAGCAAAAATTAATGAATTTTGCCTTCCGAAACTCCAAGACATCTTTCCTGGATCAAGTTGAGTTGCATGGATCTTTCCCATCCATCTTTTTTTCTGTCCCATCAAACGTTGCAGGCTTATCAGTGGTTCTTGGGCTGGACTCTGAAGTGATGGATCCTGTTTTCCTTTTGCTCCTGGTAAACTTTGGTTTAGTGTAACTTGCAGCCCCACTCACGAAGGTTCTCACTCAGATTACATGAAGAAAATATTCATTCTGCTAGAGTCTGGTGCCCTTCCAGGGCAGCGAGCCAGCCCACAGTACCGCAAGAGTTAGTGAGAACGCTCATGTTTCAGAGAACAAAAGAGAAACAGGAAGAAACTATCCCTCAAAGGGCAGGGGAAGAATATTCTTTGCTTTGCCTTTTTAAATCACGGACAGGTTGATACATAGGTTAATGCTGTCCCACATACCTTTATGTGGGAGTTAAGCAGGCTCTTGAAAAATAAAAGGAGAACTGACAAAGGAATTAAGGTATTTTTTCCTACATACGTATTCTTTTTTAGAAAGTGTCACCGTAATGGATAACGTATGTTTCTCTTTGGCCATTTTTCAGTTCTAAGTGTATAAATGATGTTAGAGTTAATTGGTCCCTTTGTGGAATTTGAGTTTTGATTAAATGCTTATAATTTCTATTAATGTGTTGTTTTTTTTTTTAAGCTGACATTTTTGGTTAAAATCTACTTAAACCCATAGTGGGCTAGGTACATTAGAGCCAAATAGAACAACAACAAAGACACTGTCACTATTTTCAGGAGTTACAGTGTGAAATAATGGAAATGGAGAATTTGTAAGTATTCCATAAGTAGGCGATAGGGAGACAAATCTTCTTGAAACATCAGCAATTCAAGAAGTGGCTTCTAGGCCACCAAAATTCACCTGTGTTTTAAAGCTTTCCCATAACTAAATCCAGGGTGTATATCAGAAAACTGGAAGGAGAAAAAAGTATGGCTCTATTCATGAAAAGAAAAAGGTGAAACTCTGTGTTTGCGGGAAACTTTTCAGAATTCGGCAGATTGCAGATGCAGCCCAAAGTTCTCCACATGACCCATGGGATACCAGGCAGAATAAGAAACACGGCAAATATCTTTCTACAGTCAGCAGGCCAACTCAGGGCTGGGCTACGAGGTAGTTGGGGACCTCCCTTTGGACTTCTCTCCCTTCTTGTGGGTTAATCACCCTATTAGAATGGTAATGGGAATTTTATTAGTCCCATAGACAGGGTATCTGATCAAAACAATTTTTAAACTATATGGGCATTATCCCAAAAAAACCAAACTCATTGCTATCTAGTCACTTCCGACTCATAGTGACCCTGTAGGACAGGGTAGAACTGCCCCATATGGTTGCCAAGGCTGTATTCTTTATGAAAGCAGATTGCCACATCTTTCTCCCTTCACCATGGAGCAACTGGAGGTTCGAACCGCCCCATATGGTTTCCAAGACTGTATTTTTTATGGAAGCAGATTGCCACATGTTTCTCCCTTCACCATGGAGAGGCTGGTGGGTGAACCACCGATCTTTCAGTTAGCGTCCCAGCCCTTAACCACTGCTCCACCAGGACTCCTTCATATGGGCCTTATCCATCCCCCAAATAAACTACAACTACAACAAAGGTCCCCTGGCCATCAGTAAAAAGACGAGCATTCTCCCTGCTGGAATGAAAAAATATGTTTCCGTGTTGGGTAGTCCCATCCATTAAGAATGGGGAGAAAATAGAGTACAGCATTTCAAGTATTCCAAAACAAGCAGAATTTGAGAAGCAGAATATTAACAGCTAAGAATCCAAGATCAAACCAGTACAAGTTCAAGGAGGATAAGCAGAGAAAATAAGCAGGCACTAGGCCAAGGGTGGCTGCTGAAGTGGAAAGGACTCCAGTCTTGTCAAGGCCTTTCCTCACAGAAGCTCCAAAGCCCAGACTGGGGATCATGCAGCCAAAGACAAAAGCAGTTGATGAAAGTACAAAAGAGCAACCATCAAGAACGTTTGGGCTCCAAATTAAATAAGACTTAGATATACCAAGAAGGATGTGCAGATCCAGAGTCCTGGCCCTCCAAAGTTGGAACTGGCTTTGGAGCCAGTGACACACCTGCCCTTTGAGACGCAAAAAATCCCTCCAGCAATGGCAGGGCTGTGGGCTGAGAGTGACTCCGAAAGCAGGTTGTCAAGTGTGGGGAGAGATCTCTCCCATTCCTAAGTGGTTCCAAAGAATGCTGTCCTCTTAGTCCGTGTGTGTGCGCGCGCACGTGCCCACACATAGGCACCATAACGAACATCCACAGTCCTTCTCAATCCCTATGTTTGTGTCCAGTCCCCAGTTCCTCCGGTCCCTGTTCTCTGCTTCTCACGCAGTCTACTGCTGCCAATCTTTAATCGTATTCGCTGCCTTTCTCAGGTCAAAACTGTTTTCACTTAGTGTTTTCCTATTTGTGCCTCTGGGGGAACAAGTCAGACAGGAGAGAGATACGGAGACAGGCAGATCATGGGACCCTTCAAATCCCAAGAAGCTCTGCTTCTTGCCCTAACACCAGCTTTTGAAACACACAAAGTGTAAAAATAAACACAAGACACTTGTTTTTTTCCTAATACTGACGTGCTTATAACCCAATGCAATCGATTTCAGTTGTTGTTATTCAAGGAGACCACTGTTCATACAACAAAATGGCAAGCTAGACAAAGCTGAATGAACTCAAACCCAAATTTATAAAATGTGCAGATTAACGAGGTGTTTAAAGCTCAAAAGGGTTGAATGAATGAATGAATGAATATATGAATGAATGAAGGTGATGTTTATTCACTTTTAGAAAAATATTCTTTGCTTCTTGAACAGATTTCCGAGTCCCTGTGGAGAACTCCAGATTCAACAGGAATTATTCAGCGCCTCCCGCCAAGAAAAACAGTGTATACGTAGTTTTTTTTTTTTTTTTTAGAAATACATATATTATGGAAAGCAAGGCTCATATCTTTTAAACAACTTTTAATATTGGAATTAGAAGAGTTTTTTGTTTCTTTCCCTCAATTACAGAAATTGGAAATGGTAAACAAATTCTTCAAGCTTTTTCTATATATGGCTAAATACTATGTCCAGGGTCATTTTATAGAAAATAAAATAAAAAGATGCTCTTTTTCTTGCTGCAGTAAACTTTGGTCATCCTAACCACAGCTTTTATACTCTACTTTTTATGGAAAATCAGTGAACCTTGCTTGTGAACAATCTGGCTCCTTGATGTCCCAGCTCCTAGGCTAAGGACTATAAAACTTGACATGGTCTCAAAGAGAAAGAGTCATATTACCACCAACCTGCAGACAAGGTAAATCCCCATGATGCCGGGCCTCTAATGGAGGGGTGCAGGGGAGAGGAGGCTCTTCGAGGCATTCCTTCCTGGGATTGGTTTCCGATGCGATGTCATTGGGCAGCAGAGGTCAGTTGCTGCTTGCCCTCTCCATCTGTGAAAGTAGAACCGCCCCGGAAACACATCACCAATGAGGAGTCTTTCCTGGATTTTGGGTCAGACATGGGCCACTCAGAGCCCCGGTGGCACCGTGATTAAGCGTTTGGCTGCTAACCGAAAGGTTGGCGGTTTGAATCTACCAGCCACTCCTTGGAAACCCTATGGGGCAGGTCCACTCTGTCCTACAGGGTCACTATGAGTCGGAATAAACTCGACCGCAACGGGGTATGGGCCACTCTTCGTAAAAGTCAAGAAGAGCTGCTAACTTGCCAAAATGATGGACAATGTGGAATCTGCTTTAAAGTAGTCTATGGAAATGGAAGGATGTATTGATAATTGTTGCGGCTGGATGTTGGGCACAAGGGAGTTCATTATGCTATTCTCTTCACTTTTTGTGTATGTTTGAAACTCTTCATAGTAAAATGCTTTTTCAAATCTGCGAAAGGAGTCCTAGTGGTGCAACGATTGAGCGTTCAGTTGTTCACTACAAGGTTGGCAGTTCAAACCCACCCAGTGGCTCCACAGGAGAAAGACCTGGCAATCTGCTTCCGTAAAGATTACAGCCAAGAAAACCTTACGGAGCAGTTCTACTCTGTCACATGGGGTCGCTATGAGTCAGAATCAACTTGATGGCACCTAACAACAACGTAACTGAGGCAGGAAGCAAGCATATCCTTAGAGGGAGAAAAAACAGAATGTTATACGAACCTCATCTCTCAGAATGAAAAAGCAAACCAGTGCCTGCTGTTTAGCTAAATGTCCCTACAGTAAGCCTTTCCCTCTCTGATCAACTCTGTGGCAAAGTCATTAAGCCCGGCAGCAATTCAGATAAAACAGCTGCAAAAATAGAGGCTGCCCAAACCTTGAAACCTGAAGGAAATAATTTAAAATTAACAAAAAAAAAAACCCTCTGAAATGAATCCATTTCCCCCTCATTTACAATAACAACGTTTCACTTGAATTATGCATCCGTGTGACTACTTGAATTACCAATGTATGAATATTCATTATTTGCAATGTATGAATATTCATTATTTGCAATGTGACTAAGTGTTTGTTCCCCGTGTGTTGTCAGCCAGCGCTAAGCTGGCCTGGGACCTGGCTGACAAGGAGAAGGTGGCATCTGGGGGCCCTGGGGAGACAGGTTGCCCTTCAGAACCCCCACCCACTGGAGTGTGAGAATGGAAGGGTACATTGTATCGTACGAAGTTGTCAACTCTGACCTCCTCTCGCCATAAAATGTCCGCACTGTCTCCTGGCTGCCCAGCCTGTAACAGCTGCTGCCCACTGGCACCACCTACATTTTAAACCAGCTGGAGACAGAGTTCTCCATGATAAGCCTGTTATATTTGCCGAGTAAGCAGGAACACCTAATGGTTTGGCCCCCTAATGACTCAGGGACTGACCTCTGGCTGGCTACAGCAGTGTGTGCTGGCAAAGGAGAGGAAAAAATAATTAAAAGAGCCTTTGTCAAAGCTCCCTCTAAATCAACCTTTTAAATGTGCTCAGTTTTAAGAGTCCCAAAGTGCCAATTCAGTCACACTGGCCTCTCAGAGCCACAGAAACCCCCAGGATAACCATTGCCAATTAGTCAAGCAAGAGGGTGTGTGTGTGTGTGTGTGTGTGTGTGTGTGTGTGTGTGCACGCACATGTACATGTTCAGAGAAACAACACAGATACTGAAAGAGCCCCCTGGAGAGAGGGCAAAGTCCCACAAGGAACTGTTCTTTTCTTGTTTTGGAAATTAAAACAAAGGGGATGGGAACAATTAGAAAGCTAGTAGTAAACAGTGACACCAACAATAAAATAGAAAAGGAGAAATTAGCACATACGGGACTTTTAAAAGATTAAAACCAAAACTAATATTCTTAATGTCTTAAAGAAAGGAAAAAAGACAGCCACTGACAAGCCTCCGTGTCTGCATTGTGAAGGACAAGGCAACGGAGCAAGGAGAGACAGAGAAAAAGAAAATACGAGGCATGCCAAAAGCAAAAGGGAAGAAAAAATATATGGTGTCAGAAACTAAAAGCAAGAACCAGGATGAAACTCTAAACAGTGCAAAGTAAAACCCTGAACTGGCAGCGTGCTTTTGCTAACAAAGAAAGTGTGAACGTAATGTGTGCAGTGCCCAGCAACCCTAAAGAAAGGCTTGGGAATGAAAAAAAAAAAAGAGGAGGTGGCAACAGGGAACAGACTTAGCCACGATCATGGCAGTGGCAGACCCACTCTGTACAGAAGGAGGCGGGCCAGTGGGTGCACAGAGTTTTTGTTTGGTTGTCGGGAACTCTGGGCTCCATCAGCGCCAAGTGGGCTTCCTTCCATGAGGGAACTGGAGCCTGCACAGAGTCAGCAGGGCACTGAAAGGAGGCTTGGCAGTGCATGGTGACCAGAGGAGCAGGGATTTGGGGACTTAGTGGGTGCTGTGGACAATCGGACTTACCATGGAGAAATCTATCCTCTGCAGCTTGCTCAGCAAGACGCTGGTCGGAAACCTTGAGAGTTCTCCTGATCTTAAGTTTCATATTTGCACCATAGACGGCTGAAAATGTCACCCTTGACTCCAAAGATGCTCTTGCAGGTTAACTTTTCACACCACTGAATTGCATGCTGTTGGGTGTGTTCATTTGTTCTTTTAGTGGTCATGTTATTATTTGGACCCAAAGTTTTAAATTTCCCCAGTTCTAATTACAGTTGCTCAGGACATTGGCTAGTTTCAAGTTCTGGAATTATACTTGAACACTTCTTCCAGAAGTGGGTAAGAAGTTAGAATTACGGAAAAGCTTGGCTCTGACTTCAGTTGAATGTCAAAACGCCCAAGTTTGCTGAATGGACTTTGTATAGTGAAACCCCAGCTTTCCTCTCTGTTCTCCCAGGCTTAATACCTACTGGATGAAACTGATGAAATTAAACAAAAAAAGAGGCTTGTGGTCTAGAGTAGTCATTGCAATATCCTATTGACAAGCAACAGTGGATACCTCTTTGGTTTCATCCTGAGTAAAAATTCTTAATCACGTATTAACTTCTCTGCTCATGTAGTCAACATATTGAGTCCCTACCGTGGGACGGGAGTTCAGAAGTGATGAACTCCTCTCTCATTTTAGGAGTGCTGGCCTGTGGAAGGCCTTGTTATTGTTGTTAGGTGCCATTGAGTTGGCTCCAATTCATAGCACCCTATATATTACAGAACGAAACGTTGCCCAGGCCTGCACCGTCCTTACAATCGTTGCTGAGTTTGAGCCCACTGTTGAAGCCACTGCGTTAATCAATAGAAGGCACTAAACCTCTGCGAGTCTAAGAAGTTGCTCTCTTCTGCCCAGACAGGGAGGTCCTGCTTCTTCTTAGTTTCCTACTTCGTAATTATCAAGGAAGGACTTTGGGTAGTGCAAAAGGTTTGCACTCCACTACTAACCAAAAGGTTGGCAGTTTGAACCCACCCAGAGGTGCCTGGGAACAAAGGCCTAGAGAGCTTCTGTAAGATCACAGCCATTGAAAACCCTATGGAGCACAGCTCTACTCTGATGTACATGGCGTCACCATGAGTCGGAGCTGACTTCATGGCAGTGGGTTTGGTTTGGTTTTAATTGTCAGGGGGCTTGAGGACTAATAAGTTGGTTTCTAGTCCAACCTAGATCAACAAGAGATATTTCCTAGGTCAAGTGCCTGGGGCAAGAAGTAAAGTTGAAAAATACATGTATCGCTTCTCTAGGCAGGGAGCAGAGTAAAGCTCACTGATCCATGGGATGGTTGATCCACTTCCTTGATGATAAGCTAATTGACTGTCCTAACCAGTTATAATCCATACAGCACAAGGAAATTTGCAGATTGCATTGGCTGAAACCTCTTGCCAATCACAAACAAGCCAGCCTGGATGGGGGCCTCTTTACCCTACGAGGCCATAGGCTGAGCTATAGTAAACTGAAAGGTCTTCTTTGGTTCTAGCTATTTGACCCCACTTATGACACACTAGCATTCACAATAAAGGTTAGGAAATTCTAATAAGTGTTTTTCTATGATCAGGTTGGTATTCTGGCATGTTAGGGGAACTGGAAACAGACCAACTACCTCCCTGGAGCTTTCGTGCATTCACAGCACTTAGTTTTGATGTAAAAGAAAAAAGTGCAGGGGTCCCTGGGTGCAAATGGTTAAGCACTCGACTACCAGCCGAAAGGTTGGTGGTTCAAACCCACCTAGAGGCACCTGGGAAGACAGGCCTAGCAATCTGCTTCCAAAAGGTCACAGCCTTGAAAACCCTGTTGAGCAGTTCTCTACTCTGCACACACGGGGTCACCATGAGGTGGAAACGACTCGACGGCACCTAACAACAGCAACAAACAGAAAGAACAGAAAAAGCGAGAAAAGTGCTCAGGAAGCTCACTGATGAGGATGTCAGCCGCTCTTCAGACTCAGCACTGACGGAAGGAAACCCTCCCGGCAAGAAAGGGAAGGCAGGTCTCTCTACCTTCAGGACACTTACATTCCAATCGTCGGCTGCCCCAGTGAATTTGGAGGCTGAAAGTACAGTTCAGTTCTTGTACTTCTAAACTTTTTCAGCAGCATTTGTGGAACATTAGAAAGAGGGAGATGAACTGTAGACAATAATTCCCTTTTATTACATATGTGAAAAGGGCAATCGAGCTGATGATTAACGACCACATGCTTTGTGACCTTAAACAGGCACCGTGCTAATACCAAAGACCTTATCTTCTGTTCCACAGACTATGCTGGTAAAAGTAGTAAGACAGCAGGCACACATCTGTGGTTATGTATTTTTGCAATTAGATGCTTAATTGCCTTCCTTACATTGTGCCTGTAGATAATTATAGTTTGTTTAATAACTTTCTGTGGTGTTTTCCTCTAATTTTCCTACAAATTAAATTTCAAACTTGATTTCGGCATTATCTACAAAATAAGTTTAATGTGTTTTAAGTATCTTTTCTATATATTATTGACAATCTGAAAAAAAAATCACTTAGGACAATCACTATATATCATAAT